TGCCTTGCTTCATAAAGGATCTCTTTGCATTTGGGCACAAGCTTTTTTTTTTTTTTTTTTTGGTTTTTTGAGACAGGGTTTCTCTGTAGCTTTGGAGCCTGTCCTGGACTAGCTCTGTAGCCCAGGCTGGCCTCAAACTCACAGAAATCTGCCTGCCTCTGCCTCCTGAGTGCTGGGATTACAGGCATGGGCCACCACCGTCCAGCTCTCTTTGCAATTGGTTTTTGGGTGTGGTCTGGTCAGGGTCCAGAGGGGAGCACCCCAAAACACTCAGGTCCCTTCACCCACAGTCCAACCTGATCTAGGGAATCCCTCATCAGGACTCTCATCCTAGGTGATTCTAGGCTGTGCCAAGTTGACAATTAAAGCTACCTAGAGGGAAAGAAGATTGGGTAAATTATTCTCATCTTGTAGAAGTGGGGTGTGCATTGGGGTGCCAACTGGGAGAGGCCACACAGAAGAACAGTGAGTTTGAGGACAGCCTGGGCTATAGAGAGAGACTATCTTAAAACACTAAAACAAAGCAATATAAAAACCATTTTGATTCACCCTGTAGGTTGAGGATGGGACACCCATGCCTCTTCTCCAGAGCCTGCACAGTTGACTGTGCCCAGTGGCCTGTTTGGGCTCCTAAACCCCAGCCATCATGTATACCTGTTTGTTCCTAAACATTCCATTCTCCAACAAATTGTGATCCTGACAAATTTCCTTTTCTAGTTTCCCCCCAATGCCCCCCTGTCAAGGAATGTCTTATCTTGAGGGATTTCCCCTCCCCAAAGAGGGAGAGTTAGGGCTGTGGGGAAAGCCAGCCAGACCATGGTTCCAAAAGGCCTCATGGGCAAGGCGGAGGTCTCACTGTACCTCCAACTATTAGCCTGTGTTTTCTGTGCCCCCCATTTCCCTTGGGAAATCTCTATCTAAACTTCATTTCCTCATGGGCTATCTCACAGTAAAGCAGAAACAAGATTAGGTCAGCTTGTTGAAGTGAACACTTAGGTATCTATGTTCAAACCCATTCTCTCCCAGATCAGGCTGGCTTAGGACAAGAGAGAAGGAGGTAACCTGCCTGGACTTAGGACAAAGGCTAGAAGGGCTATAGGCTTTAAAGGCAGTGGTGGCGCAC